TTCTGCTTAATTCCGGATTGTTCCCAAGGAAGTTAAATTGGACTAGTTTGGTCCTTACTGGTTGGTGACCTGCTGTGAACACCATTCAGACTGCAGAGGAGGTTATCGATGCTTTACAGTCAGACAGACATAGAAGTCCCTGAGTCTTTCCAGTTCTTTAACCAGTTCATTTGAGGGACTGTTTAATTGGTCCTGTTTTTTCCTATAAGCCTTTGATTAGGGATTTTGCTAAAAGCTTTCTGAAAATCAGCCAGATAACTTTTCCAAGGCAGTTTTTGCAGATGATCAGCTAGAACAAGGAGCCCCTTTTTTCAGCATGATGCTGGATGTGTATGTGCAGGTTACTTCATAACCACAGGCTCTGGGTTCACAAGCTCTTAGGGCAGGGCGAAGGAGAAATGAGAGTCAGTTAAATGGTATTCCAGAGAAAAATAGCTTATCACAAATGCACTGCAGCAACCCAGAACAGCAGAAAAAAGGAAACAGACTGCCCATACAACATCTTCCAACAAAATGGATACCCACATAAGTGCCTGACCACTCAACCCACTACAGCATGACCAACACAAGCCATGAAAAGGATAACACTGCCATACATCAAAAACATCTCAGAAACAGACTATTATAACCACACAGCATCACCGTAGCACACAAAATAACTAAAGCCCTCCAAAACATCTTGAGTAAACCAAAAGACCCAGTAGCCCAAGAATGAAAAACAGGAGTCAGCAACTGTATCAGCCACTATGTAGGACAGACGGGCAGAAGACTAGCAGACCGCTTCCATGAACACCATCTAGCAGTCAGAAGACACGATGAAAACTCCTTAATCTCACAACACATGGACAGACTCAACCACGGTTTCAGCTGGGAAACTCAGCATCCTAGACCAAGCTAAATCCAAAAACGCTAGGGAATTCCTGGAAGCCTGGCATTCAGACAAATCAGCCATCAATAGGCACACAGAGATAAACCATGTTTACCCACCATTCAAAAGAGACAATAAAAAAGCTAAGAAGGAAACAGACCAGAACACATCCTCTCCACCAGCTTTTACCCAGATAAGCAGGATTAACCCCAGGCAAACAATCAAGCAGAAAACAAGACCCTAATCAAGGAATTACCAAGGAGAAAACCACACCCCAGCCAACACTGACGGGGCAAGCAACTATACATAGAGAGCAAACCCCACACTCACACTGATGTTACCTAGTTGGGTAATGAAATGTCTGCAAGCAAACAACCAAGCTCAGAGAGCACCAAGGACTCCAGAGTTATCACTATTTCTTAAAAACTCTTTCAACAAAGCTCCATTTCATTTGTTCTCTCTGGGTCATAAGGCAGCCAAGAGCAACTGCCTTGCTTTCCCAAAAGGGTCCTGCTCCTTGGACAGCAGAGGAGTCCTCTGTTTGCAGCCAAGATGCTGAGCAAGGAGTCTCCTGGCAACTCATGAGGGAGTGACTCTCAGCAACACTTGGGAGGTACTAGGGGTCCTGAAGGGAGGCCTTCTTGATGCTGCATTTGAAGTGAAGGCCTTGGGAGGAGAATCAAAGCTGCTATGGTTCCATCTTTTTTTCTCCACCTGTTTATCCTCTTGGGGTGGGGGTTGGTTTTGAAACTGTTTCTTCTCCCCAATTCTCTTTCTCTTCTGTCAGTTATGTTCAGACAGGCTGTGCATCACTGAAGCTAATTCTGCAAAGGTTTCTGCCCCTGATCACAGACATCCTCGCAGCACCCCCATCTGTGGGAGTGGACATTTCCCGAGAGGAGAGGTAACATCTTTCTCTGCTGATCTACCAGGCTTCTGCACTTGTGATGCTGTGAATCCAGTCATGACCACCAGTAGCCTTGTCCCCCCTCATAACACTGAATCCCACAGATTTAGGGTAGAAATATCTAGACTTACACATAATGGGATCCAAGTATGTTCTGCCAAGGTTGATTAGATGCTTCTGATGGTGGTGTCATGTTCTTACTTGCCCCCACCAACTCAGAAAGCAAGATACTTCCAGAGCTTCTTTCCCAAGATATATTGAAAGAGAGGGTAAGGTGAAGTTGCAAACCCCTGGATTGTTTTGGCCCTTCAGAATCCACTTTATCTCCCAGGTTTGAAGACAGAGATGTTCTTGGTCTCTTCCTCATGTTCCTTGTGTGAACTGGTGACAAGAAGCCTGTTCTCCTAACCAATAAGGGAGGAATATCCAGACAGTTGGATGTGAAGTGCTGTCAGGCTCGGCATAGTTCCAAATGGCTTCTGCACTCCCATGTTCTTTTACCTTCTTTGAATACCTGCTCCCTCATTACCTATTAAAACACTAAAGATTTGGGAAGCAGAACATCATAAAGGCTGCCTTCCTCTGTGCAGCATTTCATGTTTGCCAACTGATATTAGTGTTTACTCTGAGCAGGGCCTTTATGGTGATGAGGGTGACATTACAATACAGCGCAGTGTTCAGTGCACTGCATTGCATTGCAGGTGAAATTGGGGATTGTCTCCAAGAGGACCTGTCAGCTCAATTGACATTGCTTGCTATGTACCCTCTTCCCGACACACCATTTTTTTTTTTGCCTGACTTCATGATGTAAATATCATTGCTTCAGCAGTGCTTTCCTCTGAAAGTGCAACCCTTTTTTCCCTAAAGATAAGTAAAATAATATTTTGAGCCCTCCAGGGTAGCGCGTCTCCTTTGCCAGTTAGTTTTCTTCTTGACCCAGGCTCCAGAAGTGCCGCGTGTGCTACAAGCAGTTGAAAACCATCAGCGCTTTCATCAAGAACCGGTCTGGCCTCAGTGGCCGCCATGGCAGCGCCTTCCGGGAGCTGCACCTCCTGATGGCTGTCCTCGAGTGACCCCCGCCACACCATCCGCCTGCCCTCAGCTGTTGCTTTGCCCTCCAACCCAGCCCGGCTTTGGAGATTCGCCTGGGGCCCATCTTCTTGTCCCCTTCCAGGAGGCTGCCAGGCTGCACACATCCAGTGCCTTACAGGCCACATTTCAAACCAGACTTTCCTGTTGTGGCGCTCACCTCCTTCCTGCACTGACACAGCTGCCTTCAGGTAAAGAGCCGAGGACGCACAGGCCCCATCCACTTCTGGCTGAAAGGCGCTCATTGCTCAGCATCCTCTTCCCACCAGCCAATAATGGTGGTAAACTCTTGACTTGTGTCCTTTCCAGCCATCTTGGGTTGGGTGGGCCTGGATCAGGGCCCCCTGTGCCTGGGGTGCGGCTGCACTGGGTCCTTTCCGTTTGCCTTCTGGCCTACAGAGTGTGAGCCAAGTTTTTCTGATAACAGATGACTCCGCTGCTGGCTTTTTCCCCTGTGGAATCGTCTCAGTGCTGGGGAGTAGAATGGTCTTTCCCGGCATTACTGGAGCCTGCTGGTCATACGATTGTAACTTATGACAAATTTTATTAAATGTTTGTAACTTTCATTTTGGAAATCTGTGTGGCTACATTCTGCAATTCAGAATAAATCCTCTTTCTTTATAACCTACTCTGGTTATATATGCTTACTGAAAATGGATGTTTTAGCTGAAGACAAAATAGCAGCGAAGTTTTTTAGCTGCAAACCTTTTGAAATCTCTTTACAGGGAAAGCATGCTGATGGCTGAAGTGAGTCAGAGTGTTCAGCTTGTGGTTTTTCTCTTAAATGCCACCTCTGCCTTAAGCTGAAGAGATTTCATCACGTCTTAAGCAAACGTGAACCTCCAAACTAGGTTTCAGTGTCTGAAATGTGTAACACAGTCATGAATCTCAGGGTTATTTTCACAACTCCGCGCAGAAGAACCACACTTTCCAATGCAGCAGTTGCTGCTTCAGCATCTTTCCAGGAAAATCATGGGCATGTGGCAGCTCACGGTCTCTTGGGGGTGTGAACAAAACACACAAAACTCCGGCTTTTTTCCCATCACCTGCATAGCGTTCCTCCTCCTCCTCCTCCTCCTCCAAACTATTGGAAGGTTTATGCTGATGTGCTGACGTACCTATTTTTTTTAAAAGAAGTCTTCTGACAGACACACACAATGTCTTACATATATTACTTGATAGTCATTCCATTATTTCTCCACCCAACGCCTATTTCAAGCATCTCTAAACCGTAGTCCACCTTTGGGACTAGATTAAGATTAGATTGCAATCCTGAAAACAACAGCTATCCAGTTTTAAATTAACTTCCTTGTATTATTTTCAGAAAAGTTAGTCACTTACTGAAACACCATTTCTGTCTTCTGTTTGAAACTGTCTCTGCAGTTAGATGCAGTTGGGTTTTGCCAATTGAAACAGATGCTTGTTGCAATTACAAGTAGACCAGTAGTTTGAAACTTAGTTCAGATACTATTGTTTCTAAAGTCTCATGAAACCTATGAAGCCCTTGTTTTATAAACTGCGTCCAGAATCATCTACACAAGAGAGGATTCACTGAGAAAGGGTGCAGTGTAATTTAGAATTGCTCTGGAGATGGATCCCTGGGGGGATGGGCGTGAATTGCATAACCAAATTAAAACCTTACAAGTTTGGAATACTGTGAACACAATTTACACAAAATTTGTGAAATAAATTTTATAATAAATCAGCAATCATCACTAGTTTAAAACATGGGGGGGGTTGCATTGTACCCTTCTTCCTAGGCCACATGAAATATGCAAATCCTAATCCGTATTACAGCCTACTTCTCCACTTATAAGCTGTGGCTAATGGCTGGACAAGAGCTTTAAAAGAGGCATGAAATTAGGATCAACCTCTTCAACATCATACCTACATTACAGGGAGAGCTGTGTTAGTCTACGGTAGCAAAAATCAGTCTGGTAGCGTCTTTCAATTAACTTCATTGGCTTCTGTGAGCTGATGAAGGGAGCTGCTCCTCAGGAAAGCAGATGCCTTTTAGTACAATTTGTTAGTAGGGAAAAGTGCTACCAGACTCCTTCCAACATCTTAGCAGCAATAGCACCACTGCTACACCATAGAATCAGCCAAGACATCTTCACAGGGCTTCAAATGTTGGTCTATATTTTTATTTAAGTATTTTTGGGAACAGTCTGCAAGTTGGAAAAAAAAGTAGACATTTTTAGAGGAAATTTAGATAGGACTCCGTATTTCTGATATAGTAGTTGCAGAGCAGCTATCTCAACTTTTATTTGTAGATGTAAATTTTATATTTATACCAAAAAAAAAAAACAGGCTAAGTCATGCTGAGTACCAGTTTTTCTGTTTCAAGAAGAAAGAAGAGAGGAGGCGGCGGCGGCGGCTACCAAAAGTACCTTTCCTTTGCTTCATTCTTCTGGATTGTTTCAGCAGCCGCCAGCTTGTTTGTTCAGCTCAGTGTGTTCCAACCCTGTCTTCCAGAAGAACGGATAATCCTGGCTGAAGCAGAAGGTAAAACTACAGGGGCATCACTGACAGTCACCAAACATGACCTCACCTTGTATCATCTTGCGACTCCATAAATGGGTAGAGGATTTTAAGATACCAGTTTAGTCAGAGTAATAAGATTATCATCTTTGCCCACCAGCTATGCATATCATCTCTACCTAAATAATCCCCAGCTGGATGAGGGCCTAAATTTAACTCACTGCTTTATTCTGTTTTTTTTTCTTTCAAGTTTGTATGTCGTAGGAAATTGCCTAGTGCTATTGAGCTATTCATTGATGTCGTTCTTTCTCCAGAAAGCAGGGTAGAATGTAAAAAAATTGAAGCAAATCTATTTAATCTGTATTTTGCAGGAGCTCTAAGCTGACTATCCAACACTTACTCTATGACAGATTTTTTTAAAAATCTGGGAAGAGAAATGCCTTTAGCCTCTGCCAAGAGTTAATAGTACGCGAGACAAAAGTGTAACTCAGTATTCCTTCAACTCTGCCTGACTATATTTCAATTGTAGTTTTCATATTGCCCTTCAGTAGCATTTAAGATTGAGATGGCAGATAGATGGGTGCAACATTTTAGCAACTGGGTGCAACATTTTATTCAAATAAAAATGAAAGAGAAAGGAAAGGGTACATGAGCAGAGTGGGTTTAGAACCTCTGCTCTCTCTTAAAAAAAAAAAAAACTGTTAAAAATCATCTGTATCCATCAGGAAACGACCCTTTCCTGAAGTCCACATGGACCCAACCGCCCTGCCCCACTGCCAGCAGTGGATGGTCCAGACACCTGGACGTCTTTGTCATTCCCAGAAGCAGCCCCAGAAGCTGGCACGGTTTCCCAAAGTCCTCTCTGAAAACACCTTTTCCTCACAACCAGTTTTCACACAGGAATTGGCCTCGGTTTCCCTAAAACAAAGAAACAAATACATGAATTTGTTTGTGCTCTGGCAGGGAATTCCACTGAACAGAGATTTTAAGGAAATGTTGCCTTCCAACACACTTGCCATTTTGCTGCATGCACACCCAGGCTAGCCAGCTCCTGCGTGGTGCACCCAAAATTTTCCCTGTGCAGAACGTTCAGCGGATGGGAAGTTAAATCTAAATGACGCAGGCAGTCCATTTAGAATTGGGAGTTTGATTCAGGCTTAATTAATTATTCCTAGAATATACCCATTAAGGTCAATGGGAGAAGTAGTTCTACTGATTTTGTTTTGTCTTCTCAGCAAAATTAAATCTACTTTATTTCTTAATACTCTGGACATTTAAAAACAGCCAAACGTGTTCCATAACCCACTGGAACTAAAATCAGTTTAACCCATTCAGTAAGGATCATTGCTTCAATATCAAATCTGTGATTCCTGCACAGAAAGTGTTTCAGAAAATGAAGCAGTTTTTGCATCTGCAGCTGAAAGCATCAAAAAGAGATGATGAGAGATGGTGAGCGGGAAAAGCAGGTGCTTCTACAACCCAGCAGAGTATAAATCTTAAGAAACCAACCTTGGTGATCCAGATGCAAAGCAGGATAAATCTGCCACATTTCAGGAAAAGGAAACAAAGCAGGATAAAACTGCCATATTTTTACTTTTGTAAAAAAGTAAAAATATTTTTGTTTGTATATCTTTAGTGTATTTTAACATGCAAAGGACATTTATTCTCAGCCTCATTTTATTTTTTTCAGTTTTTTGTGTTCTGTAGGTTTTTTTTTTCTTGAAGGAAAATCAGGAGTGGAACTACAGAATTAAATCAGACTGAGAGGCAAATAACCATGCAGCGTCCCAGAAGCTGTCTCTACGAGACTAGAGCACTGGGCAGCACAAGGGGGGCCAGGTCACGTGACCAGGAGGGGGGCTTTCAGGAGAACAGCTGCAAAAATTGCTGCCCCACAGGATGCACGGGAATTTCCGTTCTCTGCGGTCCCAGACTGGATCTGGCCCATTTTTGAAGTTTGTCTGCCTTTTGCTAGCTTTGGCCCACACATAATACTTGGTCCTGTTCCATTCTGGTTTTGGACTGTTATCAGGCTGACAGACGGAGTCTCAGCCTGCATTATGTAATTTCTTTCCAACATTCTGTTGGGTTGCAAAGAAGAAAGAGTAACATTAAAAGGGAGACTGGAATTTTTGGATTTCACGCCTGTGTCCAGGCTCAGTCTGATGCTAATTCTACAGACAAGGATCAACTGTGGCCTTGACCAAGGACCAAAGAAAGCATTGATTCTGCTTTCCTTCTCATTCTGGCCACAGCAGAAGATACACCTTGTTCATCAGAGTAAGATCTCATGATCCAGGCATCTATCTCTACTCACCTGGAGGCAAACAGAGCATCTCTTAATTCCAGGCTGAAATCAAATGGAACAACTGAGTTTGTCTCATGAAACAGGAAATGGATGCAAACTACATTGATTAATGGAAGAATAAAATTTCTGGGATGGCTGTTAAGTTTCCCCTAAGCATCTGGCTAATGTTGTGACCAGATGGACATTTGATTTGATGCTTCAAACAGGCTTCTGCCTCATCTTCCTAGTGAGGCTTCTGAACATGATGCGGACCTGATCACATGGGTGATATGTGGCAACGGATAAGACCACAGGAAAGGCCTACAGGCTTCCTTCCATCCTGCATTCCTCTATGCCATACGCTGTTCCATTATACTTGCCTGACAGTTCAATTGGCATATGGAGCAATCCAATATGGCTATGGCTATCAACGCCTTTTAAGCTTCCTCAAAATGTTCCCCAAGCCCAGCTCCCAACTCGGCTGAATCCAGCAGTCTGCTGCTGTTCCCATCCTTGGGACAGGTGGTGGGATGTCTAGGCCCAGTTCTCTCTGGCCCTCTTCCTTGAACTGTTTCACGTCTTCCAGTCCTGGACGACTCTGACAGCCCTGCAAGGGGGGACTACAACCTCTGCCCTCAAAAAGCCTTGGGCTGCTGTGCCAAGGGAGTGTTGGGAAAGACACTCTACCCCCCTGCACCCCCCGTCCTCAGCACAGTTGGGTGGGGTTTCAAAAGTTGGGAGTGGCTGCGCTGCCCAAAGAGGCAGGCATGGAGATCCATCCCCCTCTCCACAGCTCGGCTCTGTCAAGCTTCTCCTCTCCTGGACGAGGTGGGCGGGAGGCAAAGGGCAGAGAGGCTTTCGCCCTTCAGCAATCCTACTTATGTATCCCAGGAGTGGGGAGAGGTGACAGCTTCTTCCCACCAATTCCTGCAGGGATATCTGTTGTGCACACACGTGGATGTAAACGAGTGAGGAAAAAATCCCCATGGCAACAAAGGATGCCCACCTGATTTCAGGATTCTTGGCATCTTTGGTGGCATCAGGAGGACCTGCTGGTGCACTCTCACCAGACGCCAAAGAAGGCTTCCGTGAAACAGACCAGGATCCAGCCTCAGAGCTCAGCCCAACTCTTGGCGATGGCTGGAGCACGTTATTCTTCTTTGGAGGTCAAGTAAGCTCTGAAAACTAAAGGGCTCTTACCTGCAGTCTGGAGCTTTGCCCGAAGTGAGCTTGAACGCCCTGTTCGAGGGGAAGGCTGCGTTCGGATGCAGGGCTGTACGGCAGCAGAGGGGTCTACCTGGAGACAAGCAGCCACAGGAAATCAGAGCTGTGGCCATTACCAGGAAGGTTCCTCCGGCCAATGTGACAGTGAGCTCAGTCTGCCGAAACAAGTGCCCACCCATCCCCTTCCACTGACTGAACTTGACACAGAACCAGGGCGAGTTTTAGGATTTTGTTGGACCTGAAGGGTCCAAGCTGCTTATTCTTGCGAACTCTGTACCCTGACCTTGGTCTGAGAAGGCTCCCTTAGCCACACCTGATTCAGATTCCAGGATGGTGTGAGACGGCACCCTTCAGTGGGTGAGTCACAAGTCCATCTGGCTGGATCTTATGCAGGGAAGACATGGAAGCCCCCAGCCTGGAGGAGATGGCTGAGAGAAACTGGGCTCCACAAGACATGCAAACACAGATCTGGAGCTCTCTGAACAAAGTGTTCAATGCTTCCTTCCTCAGAGCACTTGCACTAAAGGACGCAACACCTAAGGGTTTTAAAATCTGTCATTTCTTGGAGGCCGGTTTTGAGGGCACTTTGCAAATTGGGAAAATGGAAGTGGGAAACTCTTTCTGGCCAGGCAATGCCCACTTGCTCATCCTCCCAGCTGGCCACATGGAGCCTTCTGGAGCCCTGACTGCAGAAGGCAGGGATGAAGATGTTCAGCTCTTTTTGTTGTTGTTGTTGCTATAGTTTTGGAGGTTTTTAAGACAAGCATTTCATTTATAAATACTCTGCACTCCCATTTCCAATCTTATTTTATAGTCTTTGCCTGCAAAATGTGCCACTGAAATTCAGCCACTTTGTTCCCTGAAAGTTGGGAATACAACCTCTGGGGGCTTCAGGGCCAAAAACAGATTGCTGGGGGCCACAGTTGCCACCCCTGCTGTAGACACAAGGAAGCACATTCCCCATTCAGGGTTAACACTAAGCTCACCTTAGTTTGCTCTGCAAAACAAGAAGATTGGAGCCGGGGCCGCATCAACAGAGAAGATGCTCGAGCACCAAGCTGCTGCCTTAGACTTGGTCCGCCTTGTAACCCCTCTAGGTATATTACCCCAAATCCTTATAACCGCTCTTTTCAGCCCTGGCACTGGAGGTGAAGGGGGTCAGAAACTTGCACTGCCACCTTGGACTCCACGTTTTCCTGAGGATCCAACAGCAGAAGCAGGCAGGCTGCAGTTTCCCTGCCACGTCTCACGGGGGAAGTGGGATGCTCAGGCCCTCGTCCACTCAGCTGCCAGGACGCCATCCAGCCTCATACAGCTCAACCACAAGCGCAGAGAGGCTGCCTCTGAAAACCGCTTCCCCACTATTAATCGTGCCCTGTGAGGGGGGTTGGCGCAATCCGCAAACGGAGATCAAGGTTCTTTAACGGCCTGAACCTTCCTTCTTCCCACAAGCAGCCCCCCGGCCGAGGCAGCCCCTCACCTGTGCTGAAGGAGGCTAAGTGGGGTTCCCTTGAGGTGCCGACTCAGGATGGCCGGTCCCCCTTTGCTGACCCAAGCTTTCCGTCTGCAGAACCGCCGCGCTCCAAGAGCTCAGAGGGAAGCAGTCGGAAGGGACAGCAGCTTTTAACAAAGGGAATCTGCCAGACACGGAAACCCAGGAAGCCAGGCAGTTACAGTACCTCTAAGTGCTCCTGGCTGGTCCAGGAGCCCAGTTCTGCCCTCCGAGCACCAGGGCCCAGTTCCACGGAGCGAACCCTCTCGGCAAACTTGAGGGAACAGAGTGTCTCGCTTGTATTCTTCTCAACTGGAGAAACCTGGGAACCAGGAGGAGAAAGGGGACAGTCACAGCCATGAACCACCAAAGCGGCCCGCAGGGAAGAGGGGGCTACAGCCCTCCCTGGAAATGCCTTGGTTCCAGCTGGGCAACCTCTGCCCGGCCTCAGGTGGCCCCAAAGGGCACTGGTGCTGCAAAGAGGAGGAAAACACCTGCTTTGGGCTGCAGGGAGGAGGCCACCTGGTGAAAAGCTGGTTTTCACGGGGCCTTGGCTCAGTCGTCCTGGCCGAGAATTGCCACCTGAGGGATCCCGTTTCAGAAGCCATTTGTGAACTGAACCAGCGAGGCAAGGAAACCAAACCCCAACAGAATTTGAAAGGGAATTACATACAAATGACGATCACGTAATTGCTAAAATGTATAAACTACTGTTGAGATTTGAAATGGAAGAAGAACAAGTTAAAGAGTGCATGACAAAATGGGCTTAGAATTTTGGTTATAATACACAGATGGGAAAAACGTGATTAAAAGGACTTAAATTCATATTGTCTTACAATTTAAAAGAGAACTATAAAATGATATACCGTTGGTATCTGTCATTAGGCTGCATCTCAATGAAGTTTATCTACTTGTTTGTCAAATTTATCTTACTGCCTGAGGCCAGCCAGACTCTAGGCAGTGTACAGAAATTAAGCATTAAAAAGGAATCACAAATAACACATTAAATTATTATTAAAATTCTGGTGGCATCAAAACATGTTAATCCCTGAAGGTGTTTGGGAAAAGCCATGTTTTCGCCAGTTCTGGGAGAACATGAGGATGTTTGCTCTCCTGAGAGAAGCTGCTTTAGAGGAGGGGGCTTGCCACCAAGACCCCTCACACTCTACCTCCTGGCTGCTGGGGACCCTGCACAGGCACCCCCCTAGTTGTCTGACAGGGGCAGGTTGCAAGGACTGGAAAAAGGAGGTCCGCAGCTGATAACCAGCTCCTGCGCCCCGCAGGGTTTTAGCATTGCAACAGCCCCTCGATGTTTTCCAAACCCATAACCAGGCACCATCAGCCCCCATTTTTAGCACAGCACTCTTGGCAACCCTGAGCAAGCAAGACCAGCGCACCAAGTAGGAACTGTAAGCAATCGTAATGAGGAGACCTTGGTACAGGATTTCGCCCATCCAGGAGTGACATTTTATTCTCTGTTGATTATTGCATGGGGTGCGGGAGGTGTCCCCTTTAAGGTTTCTTCTGAAAGATTTTTGGAAACCTTGGAGTTCCTTTTGAGCTTTTGTAATACCACTCTGGATAAATAAAGATCCACATTCAGAAAATCAATTTTACTGCACGTTATCTAGTCTTCCATTAATGCTTCTTGCCCACAGCTTAACAGATGCAGACAATGGAACACAGGCCTCTTTGCAACCTTGAGAGGGATTTTTAGTTTGCTTTTTCAAATGGGGATTGGGTGAAAGCCTAGAACAGGGTGTGCACAGTAGGGAGATTACACAGCCAAGCACATAAAAGCATTTTTTAAAGTATCCAAACAATGTAGGCTGGAGAAAAACGTCAACCATTGATGTACGGGGCACCTACACATGATATGACATAGCCATTTAAACAAGATCAAAGCAGCATGTATGTCAGGCGCAAGATACTTAACCTGCATTTTGTCCTGGGTCACCTGAAAAACTCAACCAAGTCCATCTTTCTCTGGTAAATACTCACCTGGACCATCATGAGGGTCTTGCTCTCACCACTGAGAGAATCTTGGAGGAGGTAGGTTAGCTTGGAATTACGGAACGGCACGTGGCCCTGGCGGGAGCGCAGCGCGTAGATCACATCTCCCAAAGCCGAGAGCGACTTGTTGATGTATTGAGCCTCACGCAACCTGTTCCCTTCTGCACCAGATCTACCCACACGCTCAGATCCTGCCAGGTCTACTAAATTCAGCTTCCCTAGGAATTGAGAAGGCAGACACTTAAGCTGCAATCCTAAATTTACTATGCCAACAAGACACTGGGCTCAGCTGCCAACTTTCTAGAAGACCAAGGTCCATCCAAGATCAGCAAAAGCTGTAAACCAGACTGTGCCCTCAAGGCAATCTTTTTTGAGGGGGGAGGGGGAATGGGACAGGCCAAGCAGTGAGCAAGGCTAAAGCGTGGTGGTGATGGTGGCCATCCCCTCTGTCTTTCTGTCACCCCCTTCTGTCTCCAGGGAACAGGCAACTCTTACCAGAGACTTGAACTGATCACTTACAAAGGACCTCTGAAATTAGACTGGGCGGCTCTAGGACTGCACCTTGTTTGCTCTTGCTGCAGACTTCCACTAATTCACCAAAGTGAATGACTAAAGTCAATCTTAATAATACTGCACAAGATGGACTGATGTTCTCACTTGATAAAATGACTCCTTAGTCACCCACAAACTGAAAGCAAGCTGCTTCTCTTTTCCATGTTTCAGCATAAATATGACAAGATTTCCTCTATTCTTACTGAGCATGCCACAGCACTGAATCTCAACTAACTTCCAAGAAAAAGTTCTAACACATTACACTGCTACCATTATTTAAACCTTGCTCAAACACAGCCCGTGGTGAAGATGGATGCTATGGAGCATTTTACCCATGGTGCTACAATGCCATTCCCCAGATTAAAAAAAAAATCTCATCTGAGTGTTCAGGTTGCCTGAAGAAGCAATAATTCCACAGTGATCCACCTGCTGCACACAGGAATGGGAGTGTAACTCATGTGGTTTGCATGTTAACGTGAAACAATCTAATTTGAACATCTCAAAGTAATATACATACTAGAGTGCAATTATCCTTTACTGTTTGCCCTTCTCTGAATTTTGTAGAGTAGTTCCCCAACCCCAAAAAAGTATGTAAAAATGGTATATTAAAAAATTGAAAAAACTCTTTGCAAAGAACATATGTTACAGAAATATGTAAAAAAAAATGTACACATTTTCGCCAATACAACATACATTCAAATGTATATGAGTTCTTCTTGACAACTTAAGCTTTCTGAAAAAAAAGTTGAACAATGTTAGTATTACAGAAAGCCAAAGAGATGCAGCCGTCCCTTGTTGCGCAACTGTAACAGGCCTGCAACTCAGAGTGGGGGTCTGCAGGAGCTCCAAACATGGCCCATCCCTCTGCCATCAGTCGGACTGGCTACTCATTGATATTCCACAGGTTCAACAATTCATGCTGAATCTGATGAGGAATCCATACTAACCTGCAGTTCTTATTCCTGTGCTGCAATCGATTCCCCTCACTGTGACCATGAGGAGGGCATGAGATCTGGAGCTGTGCTCATTCAGGTGGGTGTACTCAGTTGCTCGGTTGATATGACCAAACTCGAAGACCTGGGGGAAAGACAGAGAAACCATAATGGAATTCCCTGACCCTGGAATCCAGAATGACGTTTGCAAAATCCTGTAGGACCAGAAGAGATGGCGGGCAAATAGATAGCAACATCTTTCTGCATCAAGAGGAGTTGGGAAGAGGATCAAAGATATCCCCCCAAGGAGGCCCTGCCCTAACAAACTTAATGGAAGCTAAAGAACACGTATTCAGCACCCAGGATTCTGTAACTCATTTTCCCTGCAATAAATCTGATTAATGAGATTCTGAGAATCTAGTTTTCTTGGTTCAGAGCAGCCTTTGGGGGATTGAGTTAACCAGTTTAATCCCCCCATTTTCAGCTTTTTGATCCCCTTTTTCTCATCTAAAGGGCTAAACACCAATTCTGTGGCTGTTAAAATCCCAAGCAAGCTGGCTGGGGAATTCTGGAAGCCTGCACAGTTTAAAGTTGCTGAGATTGACAAACGGTGACGTAGGCCATCTTACCTGCACGAACTCCTTCCTCTTTCATCAGGGTGATCAAAAGTTCCATCTCAGGAACTGGTCCAGGCAGAGGGATTCCACCCTGACGGCACATTCCCTCCCAGACACCACTAGTGCGACTGGCACGCCAAGAACCCCTTCCTACCCCCTGCTAACCTGGTTGATGTCTTCAACGCTATGAACCGGGAACTCTGTCAAGCCTGGAACATAAAGCTGTCCACTGCCATCTGGGCAGAGTCTGATCTCCAGCTTCTCCTGAGGCTCCTTTCCAAGCAAATCTCTGAAAGGGAGACAGTGAAAGTCCTGCAATCATGGTCAGCCCAGGAGAATGCATTCATCCAGGGAGAAAGAAAGAGATGTAAAAACCACAATGGCCAAATTGTAGTGGAACCAGACAAAGAGAGATGGAAGCAACTTCCTATTATTAAGATGCAAAATTAAAGAGAAGAATGGGCCTCTGCTTTAAAGTGCACAGCCCCAAACCTCATTCAGTGCTTCAGGGAAACAGCCATTTTACAGGAAGAAGGGAGGGGAACCCCAGAATTAAGACTCTTGTTTTAGCCCAAAGATTTTACTTTCTAACCCAAATCAGGTCAGAGAAGCCACAACAAACCAGCCTGGCTGAGAGCATGGCTGCTCTGGCATGATGCAGCTTTGCGCACCGTTCCCTTGTGTCCAGAGAGAGTCCAAGCTGGGCAATGCTTTGGATCAGGGTGGGGGGATGGGGGGAGGTGCTTTGGAACATCCCTGAGTGCAACTCCGAAGCCTCCCTGCAAAACGCACAGTCGTTGCTCCAACAAGTCGTGGGCAGGGGCCGTGGTGGTCCTCCCACACACTCCAAAGCCCCTCTTCCAAAGCAAATCCAGCTGTGGTGCGGCTCTGCTAGAGAGGCTGGTTTCTGGCTGTTACCTGAGAGCTTCATTATAGATTTCGGCTACACTGACAGTGATCCTGTAATTCCAGTCAGGGGCTTTGGACTGCACTTCGGAGAAGAGAAGCTGCAGAGCCCGCTGGTTGATCCCAGGGTTTTCCAGAGTCCCCTGATGAGAGAGACAGACCTGCATCAGGTTAATGTTAAAAGGAAAGGAACTCCAGGAGTGAAGAAACTGGAAGTGGCCATTTCAGAGATGCCTCCTGAGTGGCAACGTTAGGGGCACCCTGAAAAAAGCGGATCTTGGCATTCTGATGACATGCCAGCTCCACCGCTGCTCTCGCTTCCAAGCACGTGGGACAGCAGCCCCAGACAGACAGTTTGTGACTGGTGCTTGCCAAGGTCAAGGGTCCAGTGGAAGTAAAGCACCCTTCCTTCCTTTCTTTTTTTAAAAAAATATTTATTTTCTTAAAGAAAAAAGAAAAGAAAATTAAAAACAATTAAAAGTACAAACAAAAACATACAAACTAAGAGGGAAAAGAAAAAAAATCTATCTTACTGTATGTTTTATACTTCTCAATAGTCACTGGTATACCAATGAATTCACTACTACACTATGAACAATGCAAGATATCATTGTAAGATATTACAGAATCTCTGCCATAGTAACACATATTGCTACATCCTTTGATTAGTAGAAAATATGGCCTTTTCCAAAACAGATAGGTCACCACATTTCCAACAACCATTCCTTGACATCTGGAATAATATCACTTTTCCAATTTCTTAATATAATTCTTTTTGCCACCCTTCCTGGAAATTAGTCTGAGTGGCTTTTGAACTTGGCACGGTTCAAAAAAGGCCAGCAGTCAGGTATTTATTTCCTTTTCAAAATATATAGTTAACCTTAGTTTAACAGATCTTAGTTTACTTTAGACAAGCTCTATAGCATCGTCCAAACATCACCACAAAATAATGGATAAAGTCCGCCGTATCCAAAGTGGTATGAATGATTCATGCAAATTACTGGTTTCGTGTACAGTCTCTCCCCCCGTCCCCCAAGCAAGTGGTCCAGTAAACCAAGTGTAAAACCCTCCTTCTTTGAGGTCATGCATCTGTATTTATGATCCCCTAAGAGCCCTGAAGCTACCCAGCCCACACTTTAAGAGTCACATTTCTAACCAATTCTCTGTTACATGTGGAATCTGGGCTAGCTTTACTATGGGTTGTATGAGGCTACGCCATCTTGGATTCTGGTCCAAAATCATCTTTAATCTGGGCTGTCTCGCTTCCTTAACTTTACTAGACAGCCAATCAGTTACGGAAAAATATATTAATTTGGATCTTTAAAGCTATGGTCTACCATTTCAGAATTTGGTGTCACTGGGGGAAGAGGGTGCCAATTCAGAACTGAAACAAGGTACATTGGACTTGAATCTTCAAAATGATTGGAGTTCTACACCCTCTGGCTTGATAATCAAATGCAGCCCCCAAAACCCTCCACTCCAACCAGCAATCTTTAATGCCATGTGCTTCCTGCACTGGAGAAACTCCTCCTCGAGTGAGGTTCAAGATTTGGCCTTCACTGTTGTTGCAAGGGAGAAACAACAAACTCACAGTTCAGGGATGAATACAGCCTTGCCAGCTGGGTGATGCTGAGATAATCACACATGCGCTACTGCATTGCCCCTTCTACACAGGCTGGCATTCAGACTTAATTGCTCCCTCCTGCTAAATTGTTCTGGCTGGTCAGAGGGAGAGAAAGTGTTATCCCTTTTGGCTGAAAAACCCACAGAAACCTCCAGAAAGGTAGCTTTCTAGGAAGAGCCTGAAGACCCGGCTTTGCCATCTGGGCTGGGGACCAGAGAGGGGTGTGGAGCCCATAAAATGGCAAGATGGTTCTTGAATGGCTGTGCTCTCCTGGTAACGATACTATGTGGCTTTTAATTGTTTTTAACATTTGTATGGCTGTTTTATTTTTTTATTTTTTGATACTGTTTATGTTTTTAATTGTAAGCTGCCCAAAATCACAAATGTGAGATGGGTGGCTATATAAATTGGATGAATTAATGAAAGAATGAATTAATGAATGATTCTGCTCCCATTGTCACTAATGTCTGAAAACTAACTGTTCAAGTCCCCCAAACCCCAAATATACTTGTATTTCTTTTTCACCACTGAAACAACTGACCTTGTTAGCTTGTCTGTGTATTTCTTTCCCTAAGTTTTATATGTACATTTATATGGACAGTTTGGACCGTTTGTTTTTTTTATGATGTTGATCTACAACCATGATAAATTTTATCATCTGTTTCCCAAACACAAGTGCCTGCAGAATGCTCAAAGGTAGCCTGTGGTGGACATTTGCGATTTCAGTGAGGCACTGGACACAGAACCCCGGGACATCTGATTGGCCAGCTAGTGAACTCTGGGCTAGGTGACTTGGCAATTAAATGGATATGGAGCTGGTTTGAAATCTGCACTCAAACAGTGCTCTTCAGTGGCTCCTCCTCCAGTTGAAAGGAGGTGCAAGTGGATGATATGATACGAAAAGATAAGTTCCTCTACTTTCCAATACTTTTTATTAATGACTTGGGCAAAGAAGGGGAAAGCCTATTTATCAAATTTGCAGACAATACAACTTTGGGTGAGATGGCTAATATTCTAGAAGACAGAAAAAGACATTCAAATCTATCTTGACAGGCTAGAGAAATGGGCTGAAAGTGACTGAAATCTAAAAGAGAAAAATGCAAAGTTCTTCACTTAGGGCACAAAAAAAATTAAATGCACAGGTAGAGAATGGGGGACATCTGGCTTGGAAGTTTAGATACCGAGTAGGAGTCAATAGGGTACTATGGTTGCAAAAAAAGACAAATGCAATTTTAGCTTGCATCAACAGAAGCAGATTTTCCAAATCATGGGAAGTAAAAGTTCCACTTTTTGCTGCACTGGTGTGGTTCCACCAACTGTAACATGTTCAATTCTGGACACTTTTTTTTTTAAAGATTCAGATGAACTAGAACAGTTCAGAGGAAGACAACAAGGATGATCAGGGAACAGAAATTAAGTCCCGGGAAGTGAGAGTAAAGGAAATAGATATCGGCAAGGATTCTCTTCCCAGCCCCCATCAGTGGCGTTTTGCACTGGTTCTCTGAAACCAACCCAGCTAATCTGCAGCAGGCAGGGGGAAAAGGAGTAGGGAATACAAAGGGAGCAGAAAGAAATGAAAACTGCTCACCTCCATTGTGTATGTCTTGCCAGCACCAGTTTGTCCATAGGCAAAAATACAAACGTTGTAACCATCAATGCATGATGTGATCAGAGCCTGAACTTCTTGGAAGACCTTTGGAAAACAACACAGGCACAGTTACCAGCAAAGGAACGCCCCACTGCCAAAAACAGTCTCCTGAGATACATTCTCATGGACTGGCCCTCTAAATCAACAGCTTCTCAAAATGTCAAGCGAAGCAGAAAGAAGAGATATTACAGGGGTGATCTGTCTGTTTTCATCTGTAGATAAATCATCATCCCCAGGAATCCCCAGTCAATTGAGGAACACTGCAAATGAGAGTTTCCTTCCAGATACCCCTGATTCTCTGACCCAGAAGGTCCTCACTTACATCTTCCTGTGTTGCTTCTGGACGGAAAACTTTGTCCAGTTCAAATGACACCAGCTTCCCTTTGTGCACCAGATGTAGGACAGCGTCATCATCAGGATCAAATGTCACTGCACTTACAGCTTCTGGCCCTTCACCATCCTCTACTCGTATTGGCCTAACACGGCCAAACACTCGGATATTACCTTCAAAAGGAAATGACAGGGCCTGTAATTTATAATCATAACAGAGGCAAACTGGAGCCTTCCCCAAATTATGCTGCTGAAGTGAACAAAGCCAAAAGTTCACTGGTTGTGCATCCAATTCTGGGACTCAAACACAGTTAAACAACTGGAACAGATGTTTCCTGATCTGCCATGTACGTCTCTGCTCACCCTGCCCTATGGTATTCCCAAGGAATATCTTTCTTAATGGTGCTGAGGAATAAAGTCTGGTTTAGGTCCCTACTTCAGTCAAGCGGGATACCTTCCAATCTCCTGGAGATCCACTCAGGCATCCCCTCCACCCTCCAGGTACAATTGCTGTTCTATCCCAAATGTGCCTCCACCAGGCAAGCCCCCCACCCCCGACCCCAAATCAGCAACCTCCAACTCAGGGCGCTCAGCCAGCATCTCTACTCTGCCCCAGTGTGTGCACAGTGGAGGAGCAAACCTTTCAATCGCACCAGCTCATTGTGACATTTCTTCCGGAGTTGCAGCTCCTTTCTGTATTTCCTCAGCAGCTCCTGATTGGTGGTGCTCACCTCTTCAATGGCCTGCCCAATCTTGGAGAAAGACAAGCCACATTAGGGTCTTCTGGTGTCCCTCGGAGAGAAGAGCCTCAGCCCTTCCCGTCACCCTGGGGCTCCCTCTTCTTCTTAGAGCAATTAGAAAGATCTCTTTGGGATATGAAAAAGGAAGTTTGCAGAAAAAAGAAAGAGACAGGAACATTCTGTTGTTGGGCTAACCTCAGCCTTGGCGCTCCGTAAGGCTTCTTGAAGCAGAACAGGGAACTCTCTGACCTGGCGCTTTAAGCTATTGTAGTCATTGGTGAGAGTACGAAGAGCCGGTTGGAGCGTTAGCAGATTGGTCCGCACTCCTGCAAAAGGCACAAGGGTAAAACCGAGAAAGAAACTTCAAAGATCTGGCCTGGAGAGTGCCCACTTCCATCAGCCATTTCCCCTCTTCAGCCATGCCACAACTGGACAGCCTCTAAGATGCCTCGCTGAAAGCAAATCAAATCCAGCCAAGGAACATTCCTCCGGTTCAAAAGGTGTTCACCTGCCAGATTTTCATGGACAGCTTTCATTTCTACTTGTGCTTGAGCAAAAGCTTCTTCAATGGCTCGGTTCTTGTCCTCCTCCATGTTCTGCATCTCTTCCAGCATCTGCTCATGGGATCGTTCTAACTCGGATTCATACACCTTAACCTAGAAAATGGACCAAATGAAGTCCTGAGGCGGAGGAAGAAGACTTCTTTTCCCTCTCTCCTCTCTAGCAGGACTCGAGTAGCTTCTTCCACCACTTCTGAGAGGAAATGACGGGTGTGTCCACACAGGGTTTTCACTTGCTTTGCCTCACAAGTTTTTAGAGAGGGAGGGCATGTTCTCCCTTATTTTTTCTCATCTGTGTAACTGCCCCAAAAATCTGTGGAGGAGGGACAGAACAAGCTACCCAATGCTATTTTATCTGCAGCACTAGAAAGCTTCCATCCTCCTAGAATCCAGGGATGAAATTCTGCCTACGGGTAGTCCTCGACTTACGATGGCAATTGGGACTGGAATTTCTGTCACTAAGCAATCCAGTTGTAAAGCACAACCGCATCGCTTAGTGATGGCAATCCCTGCAGTCCCAGTTGCCATCGTTAACTGGATCCCACCGTCGTTGGGTGAAGCAACTTCCTGCTGGCTTCCCACAACCAAGGTCAGTGGGGACGCTGGCAGGCAGGCAGGCAGGCAGGTGGCTGCTGCTGGGTGGGAGCGGGACCAAGAGGGTGCGTGGGGATGTGGGGGAGGCACAGCACAGGTTGGGGAAGGTGCACCAGGGTGTGGCGCAGGTCAGGGAGGGTGCGTGAGGGTGCAAGGGGGTGTGCGAGAGGTGCAGTGCGGGTCAGGGAGGGTGCGAAGGGGTGCATGAGGGTATGGCAAGGGTGGGGGAGTGTGCAAGGATGCGAGAGGGTTCATGAGAGGTCCGGGTTGGTGAGGATGCATGAGGGTGTGGCACAGGTCAGGGAGGGTGCACGAGGGTGTGCAAGAGATGGGGCGTAGGTTGGGGAGGGTGTGTGGAAGTGCATGAGGGTCAGGGAGAGTGCACAAGGGTGCGAGGGGGTGCGCAAGAGGCACATTGTGGGTGAGGGAGGATGTATGTGGGTGCACAAGAGGCGCAGTGAGGTTCAGGGAGGGTGTTCAAGGGTGCAGTGTGGGTTGGAGAGGGTGCACAAGAGTGCAAGGGGTGTGTGTGAGAGGCACAGTGTCAGTCAGGGAGATTGCGTGGGGGTGCATGAGTGGCCAGTGCTGCCCAAGCACAGAGGGGCTGGGGGAGGGTGCACAGGAGGGAGACTTACCCCAGCAACTTGCAATCTTCCCTGCCAGCTTCCCCACTGACTTTCTGGGGAATCCGCCAGTGAAGGTCGCAAATGGGAATCTCGTGATTGTGGGGCGCTGTAACCAGTTATAAGTGTAAACCAGTTGCCAAGCACCCAGATCGCCATCATATGACCATGGGGGGTGCTGGGACAGCCAGAACTCTGAGGATCAGTTATAACCACCATTTGTTCAGTGCCATTGTAACTTCAGTCACCGAACAAATGGTTGTAGGTTGAGGACTACCTGTACTTTGGGGCACACCAGGAGATTTCAGCTTGAGAGTGAAAGGAACCACGATGAGTATAAGCTGCAGTGGCAAAGAGGAAGTGGAGCTACACCAATTGGGTCTCAAACTCAGGTCCTTCTGCAAGTGACCAGAAGCCAAAGGGAAAAATGCACCAGTCGTAACCTTAGTCCTCCAAGCAAGAATTGCCCTGGAATGCCTCCCTTTCTCCCGCCTCCACCGCCTGGCCTTCTTGCTTTCTCTTCCCTTTTCTTCATATTCAGGATGGCTCACCTGGGCCCTGAGCTGGGCTGCTGCCTTCTGAGAGTTCTGCAGTTGCTGCTCCATCTCCTTCAGCACTTGCCTCTGCATTCCAACTTGGTCCTGCAAGTACCGGTTCCGTGACTGGGCTTCACAGAGGGCTTGCTTGGTCTTGGAGGACTCAACTTCCACCGTTTTGATGACATACTGCAAGCAGCAGAACACCCCAGACTGAGCCACCCGGGGTTGGAAAGAGGGAAAGAGCCCTCCAAGCGCTATGCAACACCATCCTCACCTTGACCTGATGAGGCTGGGCCTTGAGGCTTGCTATCACTTCCTGGCTATCCCGTAGTCTCCGGCTCAGCCGCTCCTCCTCCTCGGCCCTCTCTGCTAAGGAGTCCTTCAGCCGCAGTTCTACCTCCGCGAGACGGTTGGTTTTCTGCTCCACCTCCAGGTCCAACTCAGAAAGGCGTCCTTTTGCTTCTTCCGCTTCCTGCTTTACTTGTGCCAGCTTCTCCTGCAACTTTAGGTTCTCCTGCAGGAGGAAAGGAAAAGGCATCTAAGGAACAGGTCCGCCTGCCAGAGACCCAACTGGAGAGGAGCAATGCTTCACCTGGCTGTGTGCACAGTTGATGCATCTCACCGAATGCTTCCTCAGCTCCTGCAGATGGGCTTCACACAGCTTTATCTCCTGCTTTAAATGCACGTTTTCTGCAACCAAGAGGTCCCGGTGCTTCTCCAGGTCTGTGCCACCCTGAGGACAGCATAGGAAATGAGCAGAAGTCAGAAGGGCATCTGCTCTGAGAGGTATTTACTCTTTAAATGGCCAGGCCACCTCCTGGAGAAAATGCCAGACCCTGAGCAGTTTTCCATTTAAAAGAGTAGCAGAAAGTTTCAGAGCATACTTCACCTCATCACTGGTTCTGAGGTAAGTCTCTCTCTTAAAGGAAGCTGTGGTCAAAAACAGCAGAACAAGGATACAGACATTCTGAGTGAGTCTTTCTTCCGGTGAAGAATTGTGGCACCTGGAGCCCCAATTAAATTAGAAAAACCTTTTCATGACAAAATGAGAGCTGCAACTATCTGATCAGAAATGCCCACCATCGGAACGGATATGATATCATCCCTCCTCTAACTGAATCTAACTATAAATATTGCGCATGGATGAAGATTAAAATGCAATTTAGTCAATAGTTCTTCTTTCGTTTATTTGGATATGGCATTAATTTCCAATGCATTTACCACTGGCGAAATGTTGCAATCTGAAACAATGGAAAACTAATTTAAATGTTTAGGCACTGCCTCTGTTTGTGTGTACTCAGATAGTAAACTAATTATAGAAGGAGGCAAGCCCTGCCTGCCGTGCTAAATATAAAGAAAGGCTGTGGCACGAGGGAGCTGTTCTCAGACAATCTTTGGAAGACATCAGGAGACTCAGCAAAGAACTGCAAAGAAGGAAGAGAGGTTCTGATGGCTCGCCAGCCAGGCTGAATACAGACTCACTATAAACAAGCCCAGTGAATTAGTTGAATTAGCTGGAACACTCCAGCATCAGACTGTGCACAGTACAAACACCTATTGGTGTCACCCTTTGGGCAGTAAGCCTACCCAAATGAATGCAACGAAGTAAACAAACCCCGTGAATCAGTTGAATTGATCTAGCAATAAAAAGTATGTGTGGGGAGGGTGTTAATTATTATTTTCCCTTCAGACCAACACCCTTATAATTTGTACAAATGAATGTTGCATTGTATACAATATTGCTTTTATTGTGAAATATTAACATACATATGACATAGATATACTTTGGTTTCCTGTAGTTATTTTCTCATCCAGAATGTTTATTAGTTCCTACTCTTCAGGCTCATTTCTCAGAAGCAGACAGACCAGAGTTCTCCAGGCGGGTAACTTGCCCACAGATGTTTCAAGGCAGAGTTGGCCACGTCTTTCCCACGCTCTGGCAACTCCAAGCAAGCCAACTGCTCTGCCCCGGCCTTTTCTTGTAACAAAAGTAAAACCCCTGACAAAGGGCATTTTCTCCCAACCAGCACCAATTCATAGCTTCCCCCAATTGGCCTACAATTCCTATCACCTCCAGCCAAATTGCCCAAAGCCCTGCTGGTTGCAGATGATGGAATTTGTAGTCCAGTACCTCTTGAAGGCTCCAAGAAGGGAAAGCTATTGTAAAAGAAGGGCTTGTGAAAAAACAAGGCAGGAAGGTTACACAGGAATGATGAGGCAGTAGAGGAACGGTGCAGAATTAACACTTCAAAGAGGAGAAGACTTCAACAAAGCAACGCAAACAGCAGGCCTGAGCACAGGCCTTTCTTGAAGGACCAGCGCAATATGATGCTGATATTTGCCTAAATGGGAGTAGGATGTGTCTGCTCCAAACCAGGTTTTGTGAGCTTCAGAAATAATGTAAGGTTAACAATTCAATGCGCTGCACTTCCCATAAGACGCATCAGTCTTTGGAAGCTTTGACATGCAAATGCAATGGTCAGTTGGTTACTGACAATTATTGGGGCGGTCAAACAATTACGTAAGTCCAACCCCGCAATGAGTTTCAGAAAAATACTGTACACGCTACCTGGAATTCCTTCCATTATTTAAGGCTGCATCCTATACATAACTGGAATTCAATTGGTTTGGAGCAGTTGTCATTCTGCCTCTCTGAGCAAACCATCTGATGCCCCAAGACCTCCCGCAAGTCCTTGCTGCGACCAAACCGTAGGCAAGAGGATCCACAACTCACCAGCGCAGAATGAAGCCTGTTCATCTCCTGAGCGGGGCTTGGGAGTCTGTCCTTCAGGCTTTCTGTCTGCCAATACAAAAGAGGGACTGAAGTACAACACTCATTTATGCATCAAGAGCACAGAAACGGTAAGTTAAATTCCACCCATCAACTTCTGTGACACAATAAACATGCTTTCCAATTTCAGTTGTTTGAAGTTCTTGGAAGTTTGGCTCTGGCCTCTCAGCTCCAATCCTCTACTTCTGCAGTTCGTAGTCAACACAGCTCAGCTGTCACATCTGCTTTTAGCATCTAAATTTTAAATTCTGACCAGCATACTCAAAACATCAGACTTATGAATGGAATTCTGATAGCCAGTCTCTTGCAAAAGTCATCTTAAGCTGTAGATCTCAATTCCTCGGGGAGCAAAGAGGAAACACAGATGGTAAAGGATGCCTGTGTTGCTGGAAATGCCCCTCTTGCACACATGGCCTGCAAAGAATACTGTACATGTCAGTCATGAGAGCAAGTCTTCCAATGTTTATTAAAAGAACAGGAAGTACAAGATGAACACACAGCTTGGTTTCACTAGAGACTAAGTCCAAGGAAAATCTTTCCACATATTTCCACAATCATAAAACACTGTGCAACAATGAATAAGCCAAGCCCGCAAATGGTATCAAAGTGCTGAGAAAGTGATATGTGAACAGATGGTAGGGAGGCCCAGAGCAGGAGTAGGAGAGACCTTGGCCTGACTTGGGAAAGGCAAGTGGGAGCTAAAAGGAGTAAGAGGGTGGGGCAGCTTCACACGTTTTGGCCTTTTCTAAGCACTTAAGATCATTTGCTGCAGCCAACCACAGCTGCAGATCAAAAGGGTCATTTCTCTTCTTCAAGCCATGATCGAAACTGAGCTAACTCAAGGGTCAGTTTTCTGAGCCAGGCAGTCACCAAGAATCAGCACACGTCCTAATGTTTCTACCTGTCTGGAACTGCAGATTAATAAAAAGGGACCCAATTAAGTGCCGATGAGCTGGAATTGCTTTGGCAGTTTCCAAACGATACAGCCTGGAATTACTTGATGACACGGAGGCCAAGTTCCCTCCGAGGGGCAAGAAGGAAAGGGGGAAATGGTCAGGTAGCAAGTGGAGGCTCATATAATGAAAAGGGAACGCTCCGTTAGGAAGGAAAATAGAAGATCCCACACTTGCCCCCCCCCAAAAAGGCATTTCATGTTCTGTGTTATGGAAAAGGACTGGGATAAGGAGGAAGGGATGTTACAGCTGCTTCTCCAGCAGAAATGCTCTAGCTTTGATACAGGCTCTTGGCCCGCTGGTGAGCATAGGGGCATTCCTGGCCCAACAGTACTGCCTGCGGGTATCAAGAACCTAATGCCAAGTGCTGAAAAGGATGTGCAGCATTGTTAGTGTTGTGATGGTCTGAAGGGGGAATGGAGAAGCAGCCCAGCTCACCTTCTTCAGTAACAAGATCAGACAAGCTGGCTCTGAGCCCCAAATGCTTACTGGAAGCATGGTTTAGGCTCACACCCAGGGCAGTCACTTCCATGAGTGACTTGAACCCCAAGAGCCTCATGGCCCAAAGGGAAATGTGTACACAACCAAGGGGAAGCAGACAATCATTACTATGCACAAGCTAGGTTTGCCCCACCCCCAAAAAGAGAGAGACTTCTATTTAGGATTCCCTGAATCAGGCAGAAGAAGCTTGGCCCTGCATGTAGGAATATGGCTTAGAAGTCCCTTCCAATTCTCAACCCTTAATACTTCAACAGAGCATTTTAAAAGTTGCATGCATTTTTCACTACACATTTTAGGTGTAACTTTCTTTTGGTCCCCACCCTCCAATTTCTTAGTTGAATTTTAATTTTTTTCCTGTTTTCATTTTGGTTTTGAACACACAGACACATTAGCCAAGTTAAAATGAACCAAGTTCAGTGTATTATATGAATGCAGATGTTATGCCTTTAGTCACGGTGATTAAGTGTACTGTAGAAGCATAGCCTTTGGGTCTTGTCATTAAACTTGCGCAAGCACAAAAGTGATGTTGAGCCAAAGAGATGGCAAAGACAAGGAGAGTGTGAGAGCTACTAGGATGGTCCAGCTGGTGCAGAAGAATTGGAGGCAAGGACTTCTCCCGGTTCTCTCCAACCATGGGGGATACGTATGGGGGGGGTGACTTTGCAGAGACAGTGCGAGGAAAGGAGTGCCGATCAGGGACGCCAGCAAAGGGCAGGTTCCACAAAAGATTTCTGGAGGATCAGTGAGCCTATCTTATTCCATTACAAAGAAAAATACCTTGTTCTGCAGCTGCGCAGCCTGAGTGAGTGGGCTGCTCTCTCGCACAGCAAGTTTCTCCTGCAGCAACAGTAACTGTTGCTGCAGCTGCAACTTTTCCTCTTGCAGTTGGGCCCGAGACTCCACCAACTTCTGCACCACTGGAAGCTGATGCACCCCTGCTAAGTTGGTCCGTTTCCCACTAAAGACTCTTCCTCCTGCCAGAAAACAGGAAATTAGGCAGCAGAGCTACAGAGGACATGAAGTTAAGGAAGAACAGCATGGAAGAAAGCTGTGTTTCACTCCATGAAGGGCCCTTAACAGCAGAGGTTGCAAGCAGGGCCCCACTGGCTGAAACTGCACTGACTGAGTCCCCTTCTAGAGGATGGCTGACATTTGCTCACCACTGCCAGGAGACTGGGGGTGAGCTGCCAGCCCCAACAGTCAAGAAGCCCCACCCATGCTTGTCCACCAAAAGAAATGGATGGCAAGTGAAAAAATCTTACATTTAGATATTTATCTTGAGTAGTTGCCAGCAGTGGATTCAAGTTTCTTCTGACATTTATATTCTCAAAAACAAAATGGGCCTTTCACCTCCATCTCCGTCCTAGGAGCCCTTGGTGTGACTTGGAAACTGTTTTCCATCTGGCAGGAGCAAATCATACGTGCAGCCAAACCCAACACCAATCCTGGGGATTTCATTCAGAAGGAGACTTTCCACGGGATGAACTGGCAGGTAGCCTTGGCCAAATTGCTGTCCATCAAGACGGTGATAAGACACATTTTGAGAATATGTCCTTTCCTGAAATTCCTTTTCCTTTCTCCACCACATCAATCCATTTTTTAAATTAAATATCTAGTTCAAAGTAGAACTAAGAGAATTTGAAATCTCATCACTCGACAATAATTTAGCAATTGGCAAATCAACATTCCTGTTTGGATTTCATCTTACAACCAACGTAGCTACCTCCAATTTGTAAACACTAGTGTGTTGGAGAGAAATTTGGATAGTTCAATCTGTTATCAAACCACAATTCATTTGTACAAGGAAACAGGGGCCTCTAGTTTATCACAAGTATAAAAATACGACTTTCCAAGCACAGCAATGTAATCTGAGAGGGACACAAAGTAGCACAAAAGACACCGAAAGGCACCATCACACTGGCTTCCTCAAACTCCCCAAAGGAGCATATCTAGAAGGATGCACACAACAACCGCATACGTGGAGAGAAGGCAGCATCTCTGCCTTTGTGCCTCTGCTCACAGCATAGCACGCCACACTCCTGTCCCCATAAGTGAGAGAGAGAGAGAGAGAGAGGGAGAGAGGGAACACTCAAGCAGAACCCTGGATTTTAAGATACAGAAATCCCTAGAACGTCTTAGTGGGATTTTGAGCTAAATAATATGAGAAGAGCTGACAGACAACAAATATGAAAACCTCTCTGAGGAACAGCCACATGATGAGCAACATAGAAATGTTCTCACAGGAGGGACTCTCTGTGCTAAAAACAAGTTGGCACAGCAGGAGAGGTTACTCCAAGGCTTCCATTAATGACTCCCTCTTGCAGACACAAACCTGCCAACTACGCCAGCAACGCCAGTGTTGAGCCCTGGCTGTGCAGCACAACTGTTCTTCTGAGGAGGAGAGTCAGCTCAGGAGGAGGGGCAACCAGTGGCAGTGATGAAGGGTAATTCTCGTGAAGCAGTGGGGCATTTCGTAGTCTGTTACATGCAGCTCCCTCCAGCAAATATAGGCCTGCGTCCTCTTGAAACTGCAGGAAAACATGGCTTGAAGGAAAGCTTCAAAAAACTCTGAACTTCCCCCTGATTATCCGAAGCACCACAGCCTGGATAATGAATTTAGATGGCCACCTGCCCATCATTTTGTAAATAAACCAGGGCTACCTATGCCTTGACATACAGAACGAGGAGGGAGGAGAAATAAGAAATCAAGTCATTTTCTGCAGGAGGACTTTGTGGTTCACTTGGAGCACCAAAGCAGCCCTTTTTGGAAGACCTTTATCAAAAGTTCCCTGCACTAAACTAAATTTAGAAAACTAAATTTTTCTATCTTCTATGTAGTTGGCAGGAAAGATAACTAGAGTCACAAAAGAACTCAAACTCAAACGTAACTTAGTTCATCTGTTAAGTTCAGGATTAAAATCAGTTGAAGTGCAGAAAAGTCAGTGATTGCCAGTCTAACCAGAACAGGGGAGAGGCAGAGAAAGAGATGGAGTGGTGTGTTTGAGCTTCTAGAATATGCCGCCCTAGAAGCCATGAAATGGAGAGGGTGCACATCGGTATTCCAATATTCCTCTGATGCAAGTGGGCAGTTAATTCCCAGAGAGCCCAGGAAAAGGGTCCACAGGGCGCAGGGAGGGAAAAATGTTTTGGGGAAGCCAGCAACAGCGTTTCTAGTTTTCCACTGCAAGCCAGGCCAGCCCGGAGGAGGAGCAGGAAGAGGAGGAGAAGGTGGGCAGGAGGGGGACTGGAAACATACCACCATTTTTCTCACTGGTCCCAAGGTGCATTTGTTTTGTTTATTAGGAAAGAAGAAACAGAACATCATAGTGAGTTGAAATGTTAATGTATTTTAATTATTTATAATTATAGAATCGCCACAACCTGCATGCCACATGTATTTCAGTTTACCTTTTGCCTTTGAATGCCTTTAGGATCCACCAGGTGAAGTCTTTTGGAAAGCTATGGAACACTTGGGGAGGACTAGGGACAGCCACTCACACACACACACACCCCATTAGCTGGGCAGAGTCTGATGAGGCTAACAGCCTCCTGTCTTCCAACGGCTACAACGTGAGATATAATCACAGCCATACAAAGAGAAAAACTGTAGGCAGCAACATTCACTCGCCATTCACGGCTTCTCTACTACACATTCCATGCAGTTGACTGATGAGAGATCCCCGCCCCTCCTCATGATTTCGAAAACCAGCTGTGTCATCCAAGGAGAACTGGAAACCTCCTGAGCAGTTTGTGGATCTGGGAAAACATAGGAACCTACTCTACTATCTTGAAGCAACATGTCAGATACAAATGGCATTTTGGATCCCTATTGTTCCCAGTTCTTGTCTAAAATGACAGCAAATGGCTTGTTACTGGTTAAAAAGAACTCTTTTAGAAGCAAGCTCTCACCGTGGTGTAAAAAAAACCCAGAACAAAAATCCTGTCTGTCCCCATTCCATACCACTTCACTGTGCACCTCGCTCCCAATTATTCATGTCCTGCTTGCAAGTGTCACACCCAGGTGATTTTATTAGAAGGAAAAGATTGGCAGGCTAGTAACCACACGTTGTGGCAAACATCAAGCAGCAGGTGTCACTTGCTTGTTTGAAAATCGTATTTCCCCACAATGTTCTCAGCCCTTTGTTGGAAGGAACCACCTGAGTATTTCCCACCAACCTCAACTGTGGGGGGTGTTTTCGATTCCTATTCTGCTCTTCAGCTCTCTGAGGCAGCTAAACACTACAGGGCTGAAGTGAACCCTCTTGCCATAAGAACAGCAGACCCGTCTGTCACAAGCAAACAGCAACTGCCCTGCGCAAGCCACGTAACTGCTCAAAACGCCACATGCGATGTTTATATCACAGGGAGCTTTAAAGTGTTGGAGGGAGCCATTCTATTTTTTGCTGCACAACTTCCCTCCGATGAATAATAAAAAAGCGGCTGAGCCCAGACAATGCAGGAGCTCCGTGTAGAAGGAGGCTTCCCACCTTGTCATTCTTCTTCTTTAAACTTCCTCCCACCTGTCTCTAAAAATTCCCCCACTAAGGAAAATGCATGCCACAGTCCATCCGATTGGCGCGGCTATGGCACTTAGAGCAGCTCTTACCTCGAGCTCCGTTCCTGCTGACAGAAAGAAGCCACGCGCAGCCTGTCCCTTGCTTTCTACGTTTCTCCCCAGCCCTTCACTCACTAGCTCATCCTCTGATGCTTTCCACCTTCTTTATACACCATCCTATTTCCAGCCTGCTTTAGAGCACGTCCCTGCGTCTTTCTCTCACTGTTTCACTTTGCTGCGAAGCCCCAAAAAGGAGGAAAAAAGGGACTTGTTGCAGCCTGTGAACCAGAACAAGCCAGGGACTGCCTCCTCCCCCAGATATGCCTGAACAAGCTCAAACCGCGAGGCTTTGAAGAGCAGAGCAAGAAACAACCTGTGAACCTCCTCAGCTCTTTTGAGGGAAAAAAACTCAATCCTTAATAAATGCTGCATCGCAGCAAAAGGAGGAGCAGAGATGGAGGGAAACCATGGCTGAGGGCACGAGGCATCAGTCGTATGCCGTGGCTGATGACTGCAAAGCCATCCTGCCATAGCTGTGGGCAGGGGTGGGGCCCCTCCGGCAGTCATCTCTAGCCAGGAGCTAGATCATCTTTGCTACCCCAGCAGTTTGCACCGGGGGGGGGGGGTATTTTCCCAGGGATCCCTGGGAAGGGGGACAGTGTGAATTAGGACTGCTGCAGGAAACCAAAGATGATGCCCCCTGCCCAGTGGGGGAGGGTCACAAATCTTGCCCACCCAGGGGCTCCTCCAAGTAGCCGCTTTGCTGCACTTTCCTGCCGTCATTCCAGCCCGTTTGCTACTTCAACATTTGCATATCGAAGATTCACAAGGTAGCAGAGGCATCCGCCAGAGGGAGGTTACAAAAACTAAAGATGGTCTCTCCAACCACACAACTGAAGCTCTGGACTTTTCTATGTTACCTAGTTTGGTAATGAAATGTTTGCAAGGAGAACCCAATTTATTTACTTTTTATTTACCAAATTCTGGCAGGATATCGCAGGCAAACTTGGGCTCTCCTGAAGCAAATTGGTCTCAAGAGCTGTCGCCGCACTGGTCTCCTCGGGGCCACCCAGCCCTTGCCGTAGCAGCTCAAAAAGCAACATTTGGGGAGGACAGTCTGTCTGCGCAATGATTAACATCCTGAGCTATGGCCAGGGTGTCTGCAGAATATGGTCAAAAAAGTCAAGATGGTGATCAAAGCTGCGTTGTACATAAAAAACAAGCAAAGCTTTGATCGCACCACTGTGGTTGCCATCATGATCTTTTTAACCACACCCTGTGGACACCCCTGGCCATGTCCTATTTTGTTCTGTGTGGCGCAGTGGGGGATGGGATGGAAAAGAGGAACTGGGGGTTTTCTGTGCCTTCTGGAAACACGCAAAGCCGAGCAACAAATTGGAAGGTTGGGGAAAGCTTTGGATCTCATCTAACAGAAGGACCTCCTTCAGCAAAGGAAATGTCGTCTTTGAAGGATCCCTCTGATGGATTACAGTTTAAGAATGGCTTGGAGGCTGCCTCATGGGAATGCATGAAACTTGGGGCTAATAAGGTATTCCCATGCACCCATAACCCCTCTGCCCCAAAAGACTCGCCAATCCTGGATTGCTCAAAGTACTCCAGTAAGTCTCATGGTCAAATCATGATCTAAGAATTCATCTTAATCCTGCACCCTCCAGAGATGCTAGAGCAGGGTTTCTCTATCACTCCCCCCCCCCAACCTCCAGCAGAAACTTGAAAGCTTTAGGAAGGCTCCATAGTCACATTTGCAGTACCTGTATTCTCCATGTTTCTCCCGTCTTCAGCTTTCCACGCTGGGATGCTGCAGCTGCCAGTCCAGGTTGACTGTGGCTGCCAAGTTGCCCCTCAATCTTCGTCTGTCAGCTGTTTTCACGCACCTTTGTGGAGCTGTTGGCAAGACAGACAGAAATTCTCAACTGAAGGTGGAACCTATTCTGACTCATTGTTTTGTCACAGCCAAGAAAAACACTTTGGAAATGAAGTTCCTTTTCTCCTTGGAGCCTTAAGCAAGTCCAGAAGAAGTCCCTGATTAAGGAGAGCAATTCAAGCATTGTTTGTGAGTGCATGCTTCAGCTCCTGGAGCTGTTGCCATGCCTCCCCAAAACTCTTTCCAGGCCATTGTTCAACATGCACACCATTTGGGTTCTGGGTAAAGTGTTTCTCTTGGCTGTGGCCACCCTGGGTAAAGTCCTGCCTGTGCCAAATTGCTTCTTCCTGTCCTATTCATAAGTTCCTCAAGAACAGAATGCTAGAAATAGACACACACACTCTGCCCCAAGAATCCTCTGAAGAGCAGCCTCTCAACACTTGCAGTAACACCCTCTGGAGCTGGACTGGCATCTGAGAGAAGGGCATATGCAGGCTGTCACTGCTGCCCATTTCCTCCGGCCAGGGCCAAGGAGTAGTCCTGCCAGAGGCATTTCCTGTCCAGCTGGTTATTTAAGGCCATTGCCTAATTTATGGATGTCTAACAACCTTCGCCAACAAGGACAAGTTTTATGGCAGTATGGCAATAGGAAACTGCAAATCTGGAAGGGAAGGGAAGGGAAGGGAAGGGAAGGGAAGGGAAGGGAAGGGAAGGGAAGGGGTAAATGGATGAAGAAGGGCAGGGCAGGGCCAATTCAACTGCATCACAGGCTCTCTGTTTTGAAGGATTCATGAGTTGTTCCTGGCTGAAGAGTGAAGTATCAATGCTCTGAATACTCATAAGCCAAGAAACATCAATCCAATATTCACCTGTCAAGAAATACTCTGTAACTTCAGCCCCCACCTTCTCCCCCTGTGGCTTTTTCTTCTTAGAGCTCCTGCCTGTTAAACAAGTCAGGAATCTCCCCAGATGCCATTCACAAGCTTCCATAAAGCTCCTGAAACAATTTGGTTCTTTGGTGAATTCATCCAGACTTGCCCATTTCTCCCTGGCTGGCATAGAAATCTAGAAACATGGGCCCAGCTGGCTTCTCTCTAGCTGACAGAGTAAGAGTGAGCTCAGGTTGCCCCAACCATCTGGTACCCGTAAAATGGGTTGCTCTGTCCCAATACCAGCTTCAGCAGGACCCAATTCTTGAAGGATCACGAATGATCAGTTGGGAACTGATGGAGGAGAGCCACGTTCCTCTATCGTATGAGCTTTCATGTTCCGCCAACAACCTGAAGTCATTCCTAAGGTGCTAACACCCCCCCACAAAAAAATAGCTGTTTGGACATGTTCATTATTTTAAAAATACTTAATGAACAAGGCAAGAGGGAAGAATGAAGACTGTTTTTCCCAGCTTAAACAGCTCCTTGGAAAATACCATCACTTCAATTCATAGGATTTTTTCCTTCAAACCAGTTCCAAGAGAAGTTTGTCAGTTTAGGATCCATTTGACTCCATCTTCCTGAAAGGAAAGGGGAGCCAAATTCCTTTATGTGCCAGGCGATTAAATAAAATCACAAGAGCTGAGGCTCTTATAGTGCATTCTACAACGTCATAAAGGATCACCCTGATCCAGGAGGTGGTCAGCAGGGTTTTCTAGCAGTGCCCAGAAAAAGTTAAGAAGGAAGTTTCATTCTGGAAATGGAAACACAGTCAAAAGAGCACAAACTGATAGGAAAAGTGTTGGTGATTCAGGATTGCCAAGAAAAGGAAGAGGAAGAGGACTGCTGTTACTGTAATTATTATTATTGTATACGGCAAAAAAGTTAAAGGTGCTTTTAATAAAGTTCTAAACTTTTCTTTTTATAAAGTTCTAAACTTAAGAATTTCTTTAAATCTATTTGAAGCAGAAAAGCAGCCAGAGAAGCAGCCAGACCATTAAATGACACAGGAGTGAAATAGATCTTCAAGGAGGAGATGGCAACTGCCAAGAAACCGAAGGCATGACTGGCGTCTGTCCTTCCTGTGGAAGACACAGGACGATTATCTGAGCCTGTACTGACTTTCTGGGGATTGAACTGGAACATCTAAACTAGACTGAGGAAACAAGAGAAGACACTCAAGGACATCTTGAGAAACTACAACACACTAACAAATCACCAGATCCTGATGGCATCCATCTGAGACTTCGTAAAAGACTCTAATGTGAGAAGGCTAGCCTCTTAACAAAAATAGGTAACCTATCCCTAAAATTGGCATCTGTACCAGAGGATGAGAAGGCAGCCGATGTGACACCAGTTTTTACAAAGGGACCCAGGGAGAGGCTTGGCCACCTTTTCACAAAAGGCTCACCAGTGCCTTCTCCCTGGGGCTGAGAGAAAGTGACTGGTACCCAGCCAGCTTCCGTGCCTAAGAGGGAACTGAAATTCAGCTTTTCCCACTGCTAGCCCCATGCCTTAAAAGTCTGAGGCTGTAAAAATAGAAATAAATAAATAAAATTTTCAAACCTGAGTATTTTTCAGACCCTGTAATGAAAGCCCACAAGCAAATTGCAATTAAAGGGTGTAACTGCAGGGAATTGCGAGTGCTGGGCTGGGCTGGGCTGCAACTGTGTTCTGCAAAACCTTCACCAGCTGTGTCTCACTCGCAGAATGGCGACCAGCCAGATCCCCCCCTAAATGACAAGGTCGAGTCTGTACTTTTGGAAAGCTCCCTGAGCGTCACCAGGAGCAAAGAAGGGGAAGGAATGTATCCTTGTCTATTTTTTTCAAAAAAAAAAAGGAGAAGAAAGAAATGTCTCTGACTTTGAACTTCTTAAGGGTATCCTATCTGCAAGGTCAGGTTTCCAGACTAAATTGGTCCACTCAGAAAATGAACAAGCAAATCCTTTTTTCCCTTATGAGCCATAGTTTAAAATAAACAATACCCAGCGGCTCTGATTGTCTCACCAAAGATAACAGTTCTGTAACCCAGTGTTACCACATTACATTTACCATATTGGTATTTAAAGGTGGCTTGCAGGCTCCCTCCTCTTCGTGATTTCCCACAATCCCAAATTTGCCATTCTTTCAGCCTAAACAGTCTGGGTCAATGGAAAAATGAGAGGGTTTCTGCCGAGACGCAAGACGCAGGCACCTCCCATAGAGAGCAAGAGAGGGAAGGAAAGAGATCCCGTAAGCCTTTCGTTTTTTAACTGACTCGGCCAGGACCGTCGTTTGAATTCCGCAGCGCAGAGTTTCAGATTCTAATACAACACTTCTAATATTCTGAGAAGGACAACTCAGAATAGGTTTCTCTCTCAGAAAGCTCTCTTACTGCAAAAGTACACCCCCAGTTCCAAAGCACGGAGGACGCTTTGCCCAGCATTTCTGCTCCAGCACCGCCCCAGTCCCGAAGGTCCCCAGCCCAAGGCCTAGACATCAGGCTCATCTTCTTACACCTTGACCCGCAAGAGGTCTTCTAATAAGGACGAGAGAAAAGGGCCTCACTCCACTCCAGCAACAGACCACAGTGATGGCCCACTGGCACGTCTGCTGCACTGTAGCTTGCTAAAATGCATTTACACAAGGGTTAATGAAGCTGCAGACCTGTGACTACATTAGCAACAAAACAGTTCTCACACTGCACCAAGAACATCTGGTTCTTGCTATTTAATGTGCTTCCAAAATGCTTTCTTCTTCAAAGACAATTTATTGTACTTAGCTTCAAAAGGGATTTTTTAAAAAGTGCATTATTTAAAAGTAAAACTAAACATTTCAGTTACATAATAAAGCTATAAGCATCAGCCTTGAAGATATACCTGGATTTATAGAAATATTACTTATCACATACCTAGTAGAATAAGAGTAATTCAAGAGTAGAACCACTTACCCAAGATGTACTGATTATACAAGGTAAGCAGTATTAGTCTGTGATAGCAAAAAATCAGTAGTAACTAACACATTTTGTTAAAAGCAGGAGCTTTCATGAGCTGCATCTGATGAAATGCCTCTAGTGAAGGGAGCTGCAGCTCATGAAAATGTAGGCCTTTTCATAAAACTGATCAGCTGGAAAAAGCACTGCCAGACTCCTTCAGCGAAGCAGTGGATACCCTTACTGCATGTGCTCAAGCAGAGGCTGGAGACCTGTCTGTCTGGGATGATTTTGGATTCCAAAGTAAGTAAAACGAAATAAATAATTTTATTTTAGAGCAGCAAGTTGAACTCAACAGCCTGAGTGGCCCCTCACCATCCAGGGATTCCATCGTGCTACAATCCTCAGGGGAAGACCCATTGGGGCCTGCGGATCAGTTCCACTCACCGCATTAATAAGATAACTTATATGTATTAAAAGTTCATTTGCTGTATGAAGGAAATACTGTTTTATATCATTTTCTTCTTATATGTTACGTCCATTTCTTTTTAAATTTCATTATCAGTTTTTTATGGATTAATTACAAAAAGTAAACTTTCTAAAATCTTGTGTTATGGATGGACATCAGCTTTTTTATACAGGAGGTGTAAAAAATTTGAGGGTTCACTGACCCATACGATATGGTCATGTGATCGTTTGGTATCTTTTGGAGATGGCGTATTAATGTACATAAGCAGATTTATGGGAAAATCTTGAATGTTAAAGAAGTTAATGTAATGTTGAAGTATACACCAAAGCTTTGGAATCTGATTATCAGGAATTATGTTTGTATTGAGCATGGGGGTGGCTAAAAGAAACTGGAAAAGTGGTATTATTCCAGATGTCAAGGAATGGTTGTCAGAAATGTGTGTTTTGGAAAAGGCAATATTTTCCACTAATCAAAGGATGCAGCAATATCTATGGCAGAGATTTTGTGATATTTTACAATAATATTTTGTACTGATTATATTATAGTAGTGCATTCATTAGTAAACCAGTGACTACTGCTAAGTAAAACATAAGGTAGATTTTTTCTCTTTTCTTAGTTTGTATTTTTAGTTTGTTCAGGATTGTCTCTTTTCTATTTCTTTTAAAGATTTTTTTTAATTGTGTATGTATAAAAATTTTAGAGAAATTAAAAATTTAAAAAATTATATTGTGTTACTTTCTGAAATAATCCAATGCTACCTAAAATATTTATTTATTCATTTATTCATTTATTTATTCATTCATCCATTCATTCATAGGACTTGTATGGCCACCTATCTCATACAATGACTCTAGGCTCATAACAATCCATAAAACATAGTTAAAAACAAAGGTACTCTTCCTCCCAGGCGCCAGACCAAACATCCTTATAGCTCAACCCCACATCCTAGCCCAAGGCTTGCAGGAAGAGCCTGGTCTTCACAGCCCTCTGGAAGGCTAGAAGGGCAGGGATCCCTCAGATCTCTGGTGGGAGGCTGTTCCAAAGGCCTCCAAGACCTCTGAGGTCCCACCAGGTGGCAACATTTAAAGGCGGGGACCTGGAGCACAGCCACCCTGTCTAACCTAGTAGGATGGGTAAATACCCTCAGGGAGAAATGGTCCCACAAGTAACTTGGCCCTATATTTTTGACTATATTCCTTTTTTCCTTATCTTTAGATCAGCTTGATGATGCTTTTTTTTTTTTCAATTCCTTACAAAATTCAGATTATCACCTTTCTTTTTGCATTCTATTTTTCCTCTCTTCACTGTCAGTTGGAAATATAAGGGGCCTAGAAGAAAAACTATCAGGCACTGAGTATGTTAAGCCTGGAGAAGAAAAGCCACAGGAGACAGGAAACCTGTCTTCAAGTATCTAAAGGGCTGTTGAGTAACAGACGAGGCAGACTTTTTTGGTATTGATCAAGAAGACTGGACAAGGAACTATGGGTTTAAAGTATAAGAAAGTAGATTTCAGTTAAATTTCCTAACAGCTGCCTTAGGAGGTGGCAGATTCTCCTTCACTGGAATTATTTTAGAAGGTCCCTTCCAACTGTTCCATTCTACTATTCTTGCCCCATTTCTCACCTTTCTGCTATTAAATTGTTGGTGTTATGAATTACAATCTTTGTACATAAGGGGCTTAGGGAAACAACTGAATTTAGCAGAAGTCTAAATAAGCAGGCCAATCTGATATGTTTGGGTTTAGTTACCATTATAGTCCAGGCACTGGTGGAATGCGTCAAAGGTGACCTTTGGGAGGAGACCAAAAAGATGGCCCACAAGGGAAACGTTCTGGAACGGCAGCCTAGTAAGAGCGGCAGAGCTGACTCACGCGGCAGGAGGTGTTGGAGAGCTGAGGGTGAAAGAGGTGGATGAGCCGTCCCGGGATGTGTCACAGTATTGTCCAGAGGTGAGGGGCAAGTTTGTGCAAGATCTAGCAATGCCCAGTGAAGGACTTCAGCTCAAGAGAAGTAAACAAATGTTGCATCTCGGTATTGTTGGTACAGCTGAGAGATGACCGGGATAGGGGCAGGAGTTTGGGCTGAAAAAAGATCAGAAAAAAGAAGCAGGGTTTTTGTAATGACAGACAAAATCTGACGACTGAATTTGACCAGGCAAAAAGAAACTCAAAGAGTTAATGTCACACCTGACTAGCAAAGTATGTGGTTGATGGATAAGGAGAATGAAAGAGGAGATATATTTATGGGACTCATCTATCACCTCAATCCAAAGGACTCTAGGTGATGCAGAAAATCTGTCTACAATGATAATACAATTAATAATGATTATATTTCATATTCCCAGCACTAACAGCTCTGCCCAAAATTAATCTTCAAAGGCCCTGCAGAAGACGTGAGAGTGCGAGCCACCCTCACCTCGGGGGACAGGCCGTTCCAAAGGAGTGGAGCCCCCAGAAGAAGCCTTCTGCCAGGGCCCCTTGAAATAGGAGGGGACTTTCAGCAGGCACCCTTTGCCCACCCAGAGGGGCGTGCAGAATCCACCTGGGAAAGTTGGTCTCCTAGATTCCACTCAAGGCTCTCTGCAGGACTTCCCGCACTTGATCTGTGCTCAGAAACACACCACTAGCTAATACAGCTCCCACACGGCTGCAGTGGCTCTGGCCACGGACACAAGTTTTCCTCAAAGTGTGTGCCTGAGTGCTTTGATTACTGCTGTCTTTTGGGCTTCTGCGAGCAGTGTGCTTCCAAGTTGCAATAAACGATCCTATTGCCAAACCTCATTACTACAGAGCAGGAGCTCTGTGGGCTGCAGCTCGCTTCATCAGCTGCCCAGAGCACTGGCCTTTAATCAAACCTGCCAGTGAGAAGAAACGCCAGCAGCGCCTTCTGATCCTGGCTATTGTGGACTAACACGGCCCTCCTCCTATAGTATCTTCTGCGTTGCAGCGCAGTTCCCATGACTTGCGGGATACTGTCAGGAGCAGAGAAACCCTGGTTCAAATGGAGCAAAAGTCGAGCCAGGAAGCTGTCAAGAGGCATTTTAAAACCAACTCAAAGGGATTAAGATTTGCTTCGCTGGAAAGCAGGCAGAGCACCTAAGAGGACAAAAGGCAGGAGTCTCCCTGCTGCAACCCCACGAGGGGTTTGGTGGTTTTTTTAAAAACCACAACAAATGAAGAGGAACATTTGAGTAACAGAATAAAAATAGACTGCAGCAACGGCAGCCTGCAACAATAGCACTCTTTGTTGTCAAGAGCCACATGGCCCTTCTTGCCTCTCCTCCTTCTCCTTATACGAGCCCAGGAAGAGGCGAGGCTGCACTGTCCAGACAAAGAACCATCAAGGGGAAACCCGAACAGGACAGAGGGACGGCAAAGGCAGGGCAGCTCAGTGAACAGCCAGAAAACCTGCTGTGACCTGAACTAGGGAGCCCCGGACCAGAGCCTCCAGCAGAAGCTGCATCAGAGGTGCCAGAGAAGGGGATCCGGCGTCTGGCAGAGGGGAGGGTGTCCTTTCAGAACTTGGGAAATACCCGTAGTAGTGTGGCTGGATTCTCAAGGACTAGAGCCCGCCAGAGAAGGGCAAGACTTAGACCTTGATGGCTAAAGGAGGGATTTGTAATCCGGGAGGGAGGGAAGGAGGGAGGGAGGAGTCAATTAATAGAGAGGAGAACTGAAGAGGGGGCTAATAATTGAAGACATTAAGATAAAATCAGAAGTCAATACAGGTGCCATCCACCTGGGCACACAGGTTATTTACAGACTGTAAACAAATTTGGCATTCTCTGATAGGGGGTGGGTTAGACAGCAGCCCCTGAAAAAAAGCTGAAATGCCAGGTAGCCCTGATCCACCCACCTCTGCAACACAGAGACTCCACAGGGGACACTGACAATTGCACTGTCTGAAATGGAAGTTGTTCTGTTCATCCTTTGGAATGTGAGGTTTGCCGAAAAATATTTTTGTTATTACCTGGATTCTGAGCTTTCTGGCATAAAACATTTGTAACAAATAGATATACAGTTAAGAATAAAAATATGTTTTTGTTTAAAGTAGTACAACTAGTTTCAGCCAGTCTCATTTTCTAAATGCCAACTTCATTTGGCCTCTTGGCAAATATCTGCTGATAACCAAATTGCTGTATTTTGAACCTGGGAGAAGCTTCCAAACTTCCAGATCTTTAAGGCAACCCCACAGGTACCCACTGCAATAGCTGGATTTGGAAGCTATCAAGGTATGTTTGACAACAACAAGAGCCTTTATCGTCAGCTGTGAACAGCCTCTTGCCCTCTTATGTTCTGCCAAATTCAACACTTGGCTCCCCGCACTGCCCAGATGCTTTGCTCCTCCCCCTCCACTGTATTTGTTCAAGCCCACAGGCCACCGCTATGAAATGCATCTGCGGAAGACGGGAGATCCCTACTGAAAGAAGAAAGACTTTATTCACATTTGCTGACAGCCTGGCCAAATGCAGCTGGTATAAACAAGCAATCTAACCAAGTAATTTTTGTTGCATGCATTTTATCAGCAAAGAAAGCTTAAGTGTTCCAAATAAATACCGTAACAGTCTGCAAGAACCTGGTTAGAAAAATTTAAAAAACCTTTCCTTTGTAGAACTTTATTCTCCAACGGGCACAGTCCCAGGAACTCCGTCAAGAGAAGCTGCTACAGTCCAAGAAAGATCATTTAAGACCAGAAGTAGCACCAGCAGCAACCAGTCCCCAAGAGAAAACAGCCTGGCAGCTGTGCCGGATTTCTGCCCACTGAAAGTGGCACGACAGTCAATAGAGTGGGTTAAGTTACTTGGAAGAAGAGAGCCACCAGTCCCTGACTCACACAAACAGGGCCCAAGATTAACTCCAGGTGAATGGCTGGCATTCCAGATGGGCTGCGTCCCCAACACGGCTGGTCAGTTGAGCCAGGTCAGTGTCCAGGTACAGGTGAACTCAGAGAGACGAAGAAAGAAGAACCAACGTCCTGTGCTCAAGGTCTAACCTTACCCTGACACCGTAAGCATGGCTGGCCAAACACAGGAATGGTCACAAGATCATTTCATTTATTGTTCTAATCTTGCAAATTTTATTATGTGCTGCCATTGCTGAGGAAACAAGGCTGTTTTTGTTTCTCAGCCCAGCAGAACAAACTTGCACTGGTTTAACAGTCAGGCAAGAACGCAAGTAAAAAGATATATCTCAGCAGCTTCTCCAAATTAGAATACCAAATGTCCCACATGACCACTACAACTGTATACAATCAATATATCTTTGCAGCACTGATAACTCCAGTTCTCACCCATTTTAGAGGCAGACGGGAAGTCCTTAAAGACAAATAGCAATACAGAGAAGGAGACCAAACTTTGTCATGTTCCCTGCGCTGGGCTTCTCACGCACATGCAGAGACTTCCAGGCAAAGAAGACCTTGTGGTAGGAAGACCCTGTTGGTGCTGCCAATGTTAGCCCCTCATGGACAGGCCAGTCTCATACTTGAAAAGAGGACTGGGAAGGCACAGGCACAGATCCCAGGTGGACGCCGAGGGCAGATCATAAATAGAGATCTCTCTAGGCCATCATCATATCTCAAGGAAGTAAAATTCCACATTTGAATGGGAAGACAGCCCTTCTTTCACTGAAAACTAAATCGCCCTTCATTGGATGAATCCACATTCTGGCATTATGAAAGAGGAGGTTTTTTCCATCCATTCTCCTGGCATTAGTCATAACTAGATGCCTCCACCACATCCCCCTTACTTGCCTTTTCTTCTAACTAAAAAGCTATAAACAAAAACTTTCCTCTTAGTACAGCTGATTAAACTCCCACTCCCACCCACTTTCTGTCCACTGTCCAATTCCCTCACTGAAAGATAATGAGGGACCCCCCACCAAGTTTCCTTCTGGGTAGGACAGAAATCTAGTCCAGGTCCTGAAATGAAACCTGATAGTGGAAGGCCTGGCTAAGAGGATGCTGCCATCCCATTCCTGTGCTTTGGACAAGAGCAAGGAGGCAGTTGCCTGGGGACCTGCAGGCCTAGGGAATCTGCCAAGCTCCCCTCCTGCCCCCGCTTCAGCAAACCTGCTGGCACACGGGAGGCCTACCACACCCGGGCTGCAACAACCCGGACAACCGCAAGAGGGCAGCAAAGATACAGAAAGCTCTAACTAGATGGCAGCCCAGAGACACTTTAGGGAAAAGCCTGGCTCTCTCCTGCCATCTAGCGGTAATGAGGAGTGAGAAAGAGACTTTCAGGCGGGAGAAACGGGGGGAGTCCCTTCCAAGGGAGAAGGAGCGGGGGTGACGGGGGGAGGAGGAGACCCCAGCAGGGCTCCTACTGTGTGTAACCCCCCTCCCCTCCCCTCCCCTGCCCTCCGTCAACTGCGGCAGCCTGGGCGCCTTTGGCACCTGAGCTGTCTCAGCACTGGGGGGCCAATCCGGGAGGGCCGCCTTGGACCCCAGAGCGCTTTCCTTACCCGCCCCTCCCCTCGTCCCAGCTCCTCTTCACGCCGACCCCGCGTGGCTGGCGACAGATCAGGGGATCCTCTGGGAGGGGAGTGCCGGAGAGATGCCCAAGCGCAGGGGAACCCTCCGAACAGCCTCTCTGCTGCTTCTCTCCCCCCACCCCCGACTGAGCGGAGCATTTAGTCCCAGACCCGCCGCCTGAAAAGCAGCGCGAGTGAAAGCCAAAACGGAAGAGTTTGCGCGTCCCTTTAAGCGAATCCCTGCTAAACTCACCGGCTTGTCTCTGCCAGCAGCGAAGGGCAACCCACTGCCAAGGACGCAGGGAAACCGCGTGTCTTTCGGCA